TAGTGGGTGCCTGAAAAACTGTTTTTTACACCCAAAATTTTCTCTCGTCATAAATGTTTAAATAAAACTGAGACACACGCTAAACATTTTTTCTTTCATATATCGTGATCCGGCTTAATGTACATAGCAGATGAAATCCGTACATAAAAACTTGCGCGAGTGGAATTGTACAAAAGTAATAAAAAATCGAGCTCAAAGCTTTTACTTAGTCCGTACTTGCATTACGGCACGTAAGCCACCGACTCTATTAAAATGAGCAGAAAAAAAAATTACACTTCCCCATTATAAGCAAGCCCGAAAAGTCGGATAGACGTTCTGACGAAAATATTCATAGCTGAAAAGCTGGACACTGGACTGGAGGAAGTAAGAGCAGAGCGATGTTGAGCGATAATGAAAATAAATTTTTTGGGCACCAAATATTTCTGGTGACTTGGACTGGAACTTCTGAATAATACACATATCTAAGTACGATAGACTTGCATAAAATCGTGAAGAGTAAACCTAATAAAACCAAATACATACCCTAGCCAACGCTATGAACTCAGGTTCGCTGCTCAGGTTGCAAGCTCATAACGTCCAAAATTCGGGGCAAATAAAGCTAAGCGTGTGTCAAGAATAATAACACTGTGAATACTTGACAATTAAAAAACAATCGGAAAAACACAACGAAAATGGGGCCAAGCCAGCCAGGTATGAATGAAGCAACTCTGTATACGGACACACGTGCGATGACAGGCGGTATGGGGTCAATGTAATGTAATGACGAAACAGTAAGTAGGTTCACTAAATTTATTGACAATGAACATTACTGTAAGAACGACAATTAAGAGCAACGGACACATTCAAAATCAAAAATATAGTGGAGTCGAAAAAAATAGCATTGAACATTCGCGCTAAAGAGCGAATGAGAGACGGAAAGGTACAACACAACAAGTGGTGTGAGTAAATAAAATGCAATAAAAAAACATAAAATTTATCGCCTACACGTGTCGACATTTTTTTTTCGTACATACAGTGCCGGATAAAAGTATTGGCACAGATAATTTCTCGCAACGCTTGCAAAATTTTTTATTATAAATTTTTTTCGCAAATTTATTTATACAAATACAACAGAAAACATAAAAATAAAATCTCTAAACTTTCTGAAAATCTCGGGAAAATTCAATAAACTTGCGTACGAATTTGCAACTTTCAAATCAGATTTTTAGAAAAATTCTACGTATGCATTCAATTTTAGTATAACAGAGTTCAAGATAAAGTTGCTAAAAAATCGCAATGATTTTTGACAATTTTTTTTTATTTTGCTGACGGTTATTATTTTCTTCCATACAAAAAAAAAAATTGTCGAACATACTTTGTATTGAAGAAACTCGCCTTATTTTTGGGAATTTTTGGCTATTATTCCATGGTTTATTTTATGTTTAATATTTATTTTTATAAAAGCCTGGCTAGCTATCCAACAAACACCATATACATCTCCTTTTCAAACTATGTATATAAAAAAATTATAAAAATTCAACAAATTTTCACCAAATTTTTTAATTTTTATTAAGAATCTTTAGAAACATTTTTGGTATGCAGTTTTGTAGCCCAATTTTAGTATAATAAAGTGTAAGTTTCAAGTGGCTAGAAGATACCGTTGATTTTTGCAATTTTTTTTTTAATTGTAGACGATGCTAGGCTTTGGTGAAAATTCGAATTTTTATAATTTTTGTTCAAAGTTTGAAAAGCGGATTTATATGATGTTTGTTGCATAACTACCTAGGCTTTATAAAAAAAAATATTAAACATAAAATAAGCTAAATAAATATAGGCAAAGTTCTTAAAAGTACGACGAGTCCATTATTTGTGCCGCCAGTGCATATGTAAATGCTATAAGTTTGTTTCTATGCATGTGTGAATGCACCAGAGATAATTACGAGCTGCATACGATTTGATAACAGATCTGTACTTTGACATTGTTATTGTGTTTACAATTCTGACAAGTATATATGTAACTACATATATGTATATGTATAAACATAGCGCTTTTTATGTTATCGTAGCATCTACGCCGCCATCACTTTCTTCGCATGCCAGCGCGAATGACTGCCTAGCCACTAGTCAGCCTATTATTGCAGTGCTCCTTCTCCACTCAATGCCAGAGTCGCCCGCCGCACGCAGCTGGTTGGTTGACTGACTCTGGCTATTTTTCTCGTGCCGCGCGTTGATTGAAGTAAACAAATTTATTTCTTCACAACAGCTGCAGTAAAAGCGCCAAACAAAACAATTTATTTACCACGTAATACTCGAACTACATACATACATGCATACATATCCACTTACATACATAGATGTGTATGCGGCGGGCGCAAAGATGCCTCCCAAAAGGCAGCGCGGAAAGGTGGGTGGCAAAATGCGACAAACAAAATAACTCGCTGCTTTATCAAATTTCGCAATTATAAAATCAAATCGCTATCGGAAATGTAGGCTTACTTAATACGCATTCGCTAATAGAAACCACCGGCTGAGTGGAGGAAAGCAACTAGCGCAGCCATAGTTATTTAGTATCTACTTTCTAATGCCATAAATACCAAAAATTAAAAAAAAAGTTGAAAAATAGCGATATACATACATATGTATGTATTAAAAACAGCAAAGTAAACACTCTGATGATGATTGCCTATCGCAAAAACTCAATCGAAATTGGCACGATTAGCGACGTCAATGCCCCCGCACACCGCACACCGCACACCTCACCAAAACGCTGTGAACGACAGCGAACAGACCAAAATCCAGCCAGTTCGTTTAACAGTCACTCAAATTCAATCAGCTACGCGGCGGCGGAGCTTTGTTTTTCATATTCATTGTTAACTTTCGATTGACTCCAGGCTGCTTACACTGTTTACGGGCACTAAATGTTAAACAAGACGCCAGCCAGCACGAAATTACAACAACACAAGCAGCAGAAATCAAGAAAAAACAAAACAGAAAAGTAGCACTTAAACTCAGATAACAACAACAAAGCGGAGAGAGAAATAAACAAAACAATAACTGGGCGCGTTTGATTGTTGTAAAATCATAAAAACGCTGTAAATAGCTTAGCAGCAGGTAAATAAATACGCACATATGTACATATGTACCCACAACAGCAATTCGCGTGTTTTGCTCAGCGTTTCGTGACCGCTCAGCTGCTTTTAGCCGTGCGTGCGCGCCCATCACTGCAAACGTCAATGGGGAAACCCAGCGCGAAAACAAAGAGCAGACAACACAAGAGATGGTGCATGCTCTAAGCAGGGAGCAGGGGAACTTTCTTTATAGATTAGGATAAGATTTGTCGAATTTGTTTTTGAAATACAAGCAAGCAAAATTGCTGACGATTGCTAAATTGAAAGCGCCGCGACAAGCGCTGATTTGCGATACCCATAAACAACAGCAAGCAAATTAGATCAAAACGACGTACATATAAATACCTATACATATGTATGTATTAGCTACTCCTCCCCCCCCCCCCCCCCCCCCCC